CTGGCTCTGCTGGCTCTGCTGGCTCTGCTGGCTCCGGACGGCTTTCTCCAGGGTTTGACTTGGAACTCGTAACTCTCTCCGTGACAAGCCCAGGTTTTTTTACCCCGTTATTTGAGAATCATCATCTGTCTGAAAGTTTGTACGTTAGATCAGCGGTTGCAGAATAAGGGTAAACCAAGATAAGCAGGAATATTCTTTTGCTTTCTGCAGAGTAATTAATGATCAATGGACCCAATATTGAATTACAAATTCTTTTTTTGAGTAAAGGAAGAGATTAAATCACACATGCTGGTCCTAAGTCTTGTCAAGAACTGGATGTTTGTGAGGAGGGGAAAGTAAGCTTTATTCCAAGTGAGCAACTAAAGTAAGAGATGGTTGCTGGATTTTGTCCTGGAAGGTGCAATTTTTAATTTTGAACAGCACGGAGACCTTTAATGCCTACATTGATTCTTTTTTTTGCTTTAGTGTTTTAATTATTCTGAATGTTCTGCTTTGGTGTGACAGGGAAGGGTCTGAACAGTAGCTGGTAAAGAAAGTAGTGGGAGCTTACATATCCAACTGATCATAAATCAAAGAGTTAAAGAGGGATGGGAGAAAAACTCTCCTGGTCATCTCCATATAACAAAAATGAGGATGAAAGGGTTCATTCAAAAATTTCAAGCTAAGAATTATAAATTCAAGAATGTTCATTCTACATTATTACGAACAAATTAAACTGCATGAATCCTGGGGTGGCTGCACCCCTGCCTCACAGCTCACCCCAGCCCAGCAACTCTAGCTCACACCCTGCCGTGCAGTGACACCATCAGTAGGTACCCCTTTCCTTCAGGTATCAATAGATTTCAGTTTATGTTCCATGAATAGTTTCACAAAAGCGTATACAATATACTGTGACATCTCAGCCAGTTTTGGAAAAAACAACTTACTTGGGGGATAGGAGGAATGTGTGTGGATTCTGGAAGCTGTCCAAAGTTTCATTCCCGGGGTCTTCCTGAACAGAACTGGCATTTGACCACTACCATGGTGGAAGGGTTAAACAACAGTTACAACTGGTTCAGGGAGATGCACCTGTTATTTTTAGAATCTATTGCAAGAGCTAATTATTTGCTGTTAAACTTCTCAGAGCTATGGAAGAATGTACAAGACAGAAAAGCAAGTGTAATATAAGGTAAAAGTTTACCTTATTTCTAGCAAAATTATGAAGCAGACTCGGGTAGACTACTGCGTATTTACTGGTAACGTTTCCTTTTTGAAACCAGATATTTTATTAAATTAATGTGATAGCAGTACAGGAGTCATGTGGACTTGAAGACAATTCACACATGTGCTTTTGGCGAGGAAACCATATTCCAACTACAGGGAAGGAGCTCCAGGGCACAATCCCCACTGTCTTTGTTGAGCTCACCGAGTGTTCACCTGCAAAGATGAGATGACACCATCAGGCACAAGAAGGCCACAGGACACCCAACAATTACTTCTCTGCTTAAAGATCCAGGGTTATTCAGTCACTTTAACTCCTTACGTTATTTATAATGCATGTAATTTTATTCTAACTGCAGTTATTAAACCAAACAGTATAATTAGCATGTGAACCAAGAATACTACATTCATTAATTTTCTAAGCAAAACAAATTAGGTGACAGTAGCTATCCTGCTGCTTGTGAAAAAAGATTACACAAAACAAACACTACTCACCACATCATCAATCTTCAGAATACTGCGCACAGTTTCTGTGGCAAGAGTCAGTGCACTCAGGGACACAAGCAGTGGCTGGACAACCAGCTCCTCCAAGATGTTGGAAATCCCACCCTATGAGAACAAGTAGTTAGATTCAGCAAGGGTTTTTTTGGCAGAATCCTGGAAAGAACAATCAGCTCCAAACTGGACTATCAAAGGGCTTGTACTCTTCCATTCTCAACAGGAATAGTGTGGTACACTTCATGTCCCTCCAAGCATTTGACATAACCAGTCAAAATGAGCCAAGAGAAAAGATCAACAGTTATGCCAGCTTAAACAGGGTGACAACTGAGAAGAAGCCACCCCACGGTGCCACTCTTAACATATCAGCACCTTCCACTGCAGATAATTTCTACCCCCATCTATTTTTGTAGCTGAAATTATGTTTTTGAGCAGATGCAAGAAGTTCCTTGTTCTGAGGGTATGGCATGTAAGTACCTGCTATTATTAATACCCAAGATAAGCTGTTAAAGCCCCAGAAAACAAGCTATAATCCACCTCAACAAAAATTTTAGGGAAAATACCTTTACAAGACATCAACTTGCCCTCCCCTTAGTTTGACTTGAACACTAATCATTTTCCTTTCAACGCTCAAGTATTTTTTTTTTAAGCTGTGCTCTGCATGTACCATTCCTTGTTACCTTTCTGACGTTAATGCCAGCTGTTTTCTCTCCTTGGGCATGTCTGTTTCTCAGCTCTGTGACAGTTGAGATGGGGTTGAGACCTGCATTTTCAGCCAGGGTGGAAGGTATGACTTCCAGGGCGTCTCCGTAGGCACGGACACAGTAAGAGTCCATGCCCTTCAGCGTGCGGGCGTACTCGTTCAAGCGCAGCGCCAGCTCTATCTCTGGGGCTCCACCTCCTGCAATTAAAGCTCTGAGGACAGAAATCAAGAGTAAAAAGTAATTTTACATAAGGACATAAATTATTAGCTTTCTGTATTATTGATACTACTCTAAGCAAAGCAAGATGTTACCTTTTCTTAACTAAGCATCTTATAACACACAGGGCATCGTGAATTGAACGCTCGGCTTCTTCTAGAACAAGTTTGTTGGATCCACGTACCACGATGGTTACGGTTTTTCCAGGGTTTGTGCAGCCTGTGATCTGAAACATAAAACCAAATTATAAGGCTGAGAAAAAAAGTTCTGGACAAAGAGAGGCTTCAGTTGGTACCTGCAGCAGTACTGAAGTCTCTGGCTAAGCAAAACCACTACACTTTCCAAGTCAGCAGCTACTTGGGGGTTAGAAGTAGGTGCTTAAATGTAGCAACTTCAGTAGTAAAAAACATTAAAGTGAGCAGTTGCCATTAAAGTATTTGGCAGGTGTTAAGTAGGTATTAACATTTTGTCACTCACTCACCTTTAGTAGTTTCCCCGAACCGTTCAGGTTGACCTCCTCTGCCAGCTCAGCAGACCCCAGCATGTCAGGAGTAAACTGGTCAATATGAGCCACAGGCTTAGTTCCAATTGTCTGAAAAAAAAATAATAAAAAAAATCAGATTCATAAGCAGAATCTGAAGCAGACAGGCAGGAAGCTCACTGCATTAATGTTCTCCTGGATATTGGATATTATAGAAAGATGTAGTTAGAACTACAGCTTTTTTTTACATCTGTCCAAAATCTTTCTAGAAACATTACATGCTCATCAGAACTGGACTTTTTTTTAGTGAAATGTCTGCTCTTACGTTATAGTTAGAACATGAAATGTGTGTTGTAATAAAGTAGTACTGGCTGGGTACTTAGTTTTGGGGCAGACACAGTGCCACTACTTTTAACAGCCATTTATGTAACTCGCTTTACCTTACATATAAACTCGATGTCATCTCTTTCGATGTCTTTAACCACCATTATCTTCATTTTGTTCAGAAAATGGAGGGCAAGGTCACTAAGAGCATCCCTAAAAACAAGAGGGAAGTAGTCAGTCCACAGTGCAGTTCTGGTAACTGGGCTATAAGCTCCAAGCTTCTTACCAGCAGTGCCGAAGTTCTTCAGGTGTCATTAAACTCAAAACTACAGACAACACCTTTTGTGTTTTCTAAACGTACAGTCACTGCTACAGCCCGTTTGACACTCTTGAATTTTTCAGGCATTCCAAACCCTTCCAGTTGTTCACCCTAACACACTCAACAAGCCAGTAAATTGTCATTAACATACCGCAGAATAGATTTTTGAATCAGCAGCACGTTGCATCCAGCCTTCTTGATCTGCTTCACTAAATTCAGAATATAGGCTCTCTCTTCACGCAGCACTCTGTCCATTTGAGCATAATCAGAAACAACGATTTGGTTGTCCATCTATTAAAAACCCAAACAGACAGAAAAGTACGTATTATGAACAACTGTTGATTTTAAAAGCCAGTCAAGATGTTCAACATTAACTTAGCAGCCTGTGATCCAAAGAAAGCAATCATGACAGTAAAATGTATCTTGTCAGATTGTTTAATTTATGAGAAAGACTTGGCTTCTGAACTATTTTTTTTCTTCTACCAACCACAAGTTCTTTAAGAGTTATGAGTAGCTAAGCATTACCTGGCAGCCCTTAATTATAGCTGTGGAATAAAGCTGACATCACAATGTCTTAAAAAGATGTGTTACAATTACACTTAACATCTCTCAGAAGCACTACAGCAAAATGTTTCATTCTAGTCATAGTTTAACTTACATCAGTCTTTGGAGCAGACAAGCAGAACTGAATGAGGCCAATTTTGGCTTTTTCCACTCTGGTTACACCAGTATTTGCCACCTTCTGGGTGAGGACTAGTCCTTCAACCAGTTCACAATCATCAATTGTGCCCCTGGAAACAAAATCAATCTGTGACTCCAGCACTCTGGAAAGCTGAATGCACTGAGACAAAATCAATCCAGCTAAAGAGGTTTCTTACCCCAGCTTCTTCACAATTTTAATATCTCTGAGGTCCACACTATTAGCTGTAGTTGGGTCAATCACCTTCATCACTGCGTCCACACTCATCGGAGAAAGTAAACTAGAATACTGACACACAACCTAAGGGATTTAATGGTAAAGAGAAAAAAATGGGAAGATACTTAATGCTGTTAAACTGCAATTTCAAAATATTGCCATTGTATATCAGTTGGCTGTATTTTGAAACAAAGCTCATTTTCCCTACCTGTCATCAACCAGATGTCTTAATATAATCAATTCTTAAGGGCTACTCTATTTAAAGGAAAGAGCTGCAATGTTGGTGAGAAAACCTATGCTTAGGGACTCATGGAAGAAGTATGTATTTTTAAGAGGCTAAGAAGAGAAGTAAGACTTTTGAGAGATTCCCAGATTATTCTGCTGAAGGGAAACCAGCAAACTTCTCCAGATTTCCATGTTGGTTTAGGAGTTTCTGCCATGTGAACAAGAACTACCTAGACAAACTGATGGCAAAAGCTGTGTCCCACATGATTTTTCTGTTTCTCTTTTCAACTGAAGCTTCAGTCAAGACCCAAGATCACTAAGTATTTCAGACTGAAATTAATTCTGAGTGCTTTATTTAATCTGAATTGACCATGGCTTTCTAGAAAGTCTAAGAAAAGGCATCCAGTGTCTGAAAAACAACTAGGTTTGGGATGTGCAGGGCATTCTTAGTCAGTGAGCAGCAGCACAGGCTGGGAAAAGCTGTGGCTCAGGTAGCCTGGTGGTACAAGTTCCACAAGTATCAAGTCACACCTTTGAGTTCAGTGAAGTGGTCGCACTGTTCAGCAAGGTTTCTCTGTCACTCAGCTCAACTGGCTGCGCCATGTTGGTCAGTACCTCAATGCCTTTATCCAAAGCTTTCTGGAATGACTCTGAAATAGTGGTGGGGTGAATTCCTGCAGATAGTATACAGAGGTTATTAGATGGTCATGCTTTCAAACCAATAGGGGTTTTTTTGTATTCTCCTCACCCTCTTTCCATGTTAAGATTAGAGACTCTCATGTCAGGATAAACTGAAGACATTTTAACAAAATGTGTTCTTCCTGAGTAGATGACCTCCCTTCTTACCTACCACTGTTAAAGCTGTGGAAAAAAAGCTGTAACATTCCTAATAATTTGTCCTCACAGACAAGTACAGCACACTTCCCTGCAATGTCTGACACTCCAGAAACATACTTTCACAAAGTTGTATTTTTCCTGGACATCCTTAAAGCTACTGCTGTTCTGTGAGGAGCCTGACAGTGATTTTATTTTAGGTTTTCCAAGAATGGTTTCCCACAGCTGTGTAGGAACCCCCTTGATTTCTCTGGAACAGAACCTGTACTAACAGTTATTTTCCACAATCCGTATCTTTTCCTGCCCAGACTTTCTCAAGGTCTCTAAGCTGTAAGTGACAAGAGGTGATAAATTTGCCAAGTATAAAAACACCTGTATAATCTCTGGTCCCAAATTTCATGTATACCTTCTAATGCTATCCCTCCATCCACTGAAGTGCAAGTAAAATCGAGGTGAGTTCTTACAAGCATTTATCCCATCACCCAGGCACTATTTCCTGTATCAACAGTAATGCATTCAATAATAAAAATAATAAAAATAAAAATAATAAAAAGCAAACCAGATTTTTAATCAAAAGTGTGACATGAGTGAAACATGAATGTGAAGACTCGAGTCACCTTTCATGTTTCAACTGAAAACAGCAACTTTAAGCTTCATTACACATGTGCAAGCAGACAAAGCACTTAACTATGTCCAATTATGGTTCTGTATTAAATGTATTTACTTACCCTTCTGAAGAAGTCTTGAACAGGCATCCAAAAGAGCTCCAGCAATGACAACCACAGAGGTAGTGCCATCACCAGCTTCGATATCTTGTGCTTTGGACAGCTCTACCAGCTAAATGACAAATTACAATGTAAGTTTATATACACTAACAATTACCAAAAAGATAAATATCCAAGAAGACAGCAGTACTGAAACTAACCTTGGTAGCAGGAGGAATCAAGCCTTTTCTTACCTAAAATTTGCACCTTTTGCAACTCAGTTCCCAGACCTCTGCACCTATCTGACTAAAATACAGCTACAGTGAAACTAATCCTTTAGAGAAGCAAAGCAGCTTTTTTCCCAAGCTTAAAACTGATTGCATCTATCAAACAGATCAACTTCTTGCTCTATCACTAGTGGCTTCTCAAATCCACATGAAATGTTATTGCCATTTTTTCTGTCCCAGAAATAAAGCTCTAACACAAGTCACTGTCCAAGCAATAGAAAAAAAACAACAACAACAAACCAAACCCTTACCATTTTGGCTGCAGGGTGCAGAACCTGCATTTGTTTCAGAATAGTAGCACCATCATTAGTGATTGTCACATCTCCTTTAGCATCCTGGATCTGAGAAGGAAGAGCAAAAACACAGTTCTGATAAGTAACTATGAACCTTTAATTTAATTTATTGCTCAATGTAAAATACTTTTCCTGACAACATTATTTCTCAAACTGAGAGGTACATTTAGTTCCTATTTTCCCCTAAAAGCAAAAGATGGCATCCCATAGGAAAGATGTTGACTTTACAGTATCTCCAGTAAGTGTAATGTTTTAAAAATTAAAGTGCAAGGTTTACCATTTTATCCATTCCCTTTGGTCCAAGGCTTGTTCTAATGGCATCGGCAACAGCTACGGAGAGAAGAAACAAACAGGTCTGCCAGTTGACCCGAAGAACTACAACCAGTCACTCCATCATTCTAAACATTTCTTCTGAAAACAAAGCTCAGAGCAAAAATTGCAAAAAAAAGCTCAAAGCAATTCACTCAGAATTAAGCAGTTCCCAGATATTCTGCAAGCACTAAAACAAGAGGTCACTGGGGTTGGAAAAGACCTTCAAGGCCATTAAGCCCAAGCACTAACCCAGCACTGCCACCAAAACCGTGCCCCTTAGCACCACATCTACGTGTCTGTTTTAAACACCTCCAGGCATGGTGACTCTCCCACTTCCCTGAGCAACCCGTCCCAGGGCCTGAGAACCCTCTCAATGAAGGCATTTTTCCTAATATGCAATCTAAACCTCCCCTGGTGCAACTTAAGGTCATTTCCTCCCTTGTTTCTTGGGAGAAGAGACCGACCCCCCCTCGCTCCAGCCCCTTCCAGGCAGCTGCAGAGAGCGAGGCCTCCCGCCTCGGGCTCCTTTTCTCCAGACCAAATCATTCTAACAGCCGAATGATATAAAACGTTGCAACATCAGGACTGACATCCATAGCTGTCTTTTTAAACAATTAACACCCGATCACTTGATTCCAGCCATTTTAAAACGGAGTAAGACCACGCAAGTATTGTATGACAAGGAACCCAGCCCAGGCCTGTGTCAAGGGACAAACACCGCACCCCCCAACCCGCACTGCCCCCCGCATCTCTGGGAGCTTCCTGCCGTCACACA